TCCTCTAATTCACATCGCTTCCACTTTTTTTCCACGAGAAAGAAAAAGATCGAATCGACGTTAAACGAATCCCGATCGATCAGTTGGAGGCAAGCTGCCCAGGTGATCGATCGATCGATCGAGCCCAGTGTCGTGACAATTAGAATCGATAATTAAGTTGACGTCAGGTGGAATGGGCGTCGTGGCTCGACAAATCGATCGAACGATCGAGAGGCCCGCCCGGAGGCCTGGCGAACGCGGATCGAAGTTTTGTAATCGATCGAGAGATCACTAGGAAGAGAATGTCACGGTCGTCGAGGAACGTTTACTGACCTAAGTCGAGAGCGTCTGGCTTCGATTCGTCACGAGGGACCGACTTGATTGTCTAACCTTTAATCGAACATCCGCGTGTCATTAATTTTTCTCCATTTTTTCAATTATCTTTTTAGAAAATTATTTATTTATTTATTCATTCAGCAGTGAACAGGTGAACTAGTTTAAAATTGCGGAAAGGAAAAGAGAGGGTTTTCAAAAGATACATGTACAATTTATAAATTATACAATTATATTCAAAATTGTATTAATATGAAATTTTTAAATCGTATTGTAATTACAGTACAGTGTGTACTTTGTTTTCTGCAAAATTTTGTCAATGCACGTTCATCATTTTTGAATAGCTTGTCCAAGAGTATTTATAATTTTCTTGAAACGTATTTTTTTTTTTTAGCCACTTGTAATTGTACGACATGAAATTGTTTTCTTGAAAATGCTTCCACTTTTCGTGACGTGATTTTTTCTTGCAAAAATTGTAATCACTTTTGGAAAGTGGATTGGTATTTGAAGTATATTTGAAAAATTTATTCCTGAAAAATATAGAATTAGAAATTCTGTTCTGTTACTTATAGAATATTGTTGTATTCGTTCGTTGTAAATATCGTAAATATTACGTTTTGGAAAGTTCCTACACACACCGTAAATGGCAATCTTTTCATTCGCACTTTTCCATTTCCTCATCCACTTGGTAGAAATAAAATCTACACCAACTAAATTCCCCTCTTTGCTCTACTTTCTAAAAATAATTATCGCTTATTTAACACCGTTTATTACAGATTCATGCTGTAACAGATTTGAAAATTCTTACATACTGTTACATTTCTATATTCTGAATAAATAAAATGTACGTCGAGTAATTCCTTCTCCCTCATCCAAAACGAAAAGAAAAAAAAATGATTGACGTCGCCTCTTCGCCGGTGGTCGCTATTATATCGAAGCCGATGAACGCGTAAAAACACGTCGCTGCACCGGTGAACACCTGAAATAAACAATCTGTAGGAAAAGGATCTTAGCAAAAAGGCGGAGCGGTCGAGGATATATAAAACTACGGTTAAAGAAGAGGGTGTGTATCGTACTATGTTTCGGCTGTGACTGACTGCAGGCATAGTTTTCGCCGGCGATGGGTATTTTCCCATTTTTATGACCCGCCGTCTGGTCTATGTCCCAAGTGCCTTCACGCAGTCCCGTATCGCACTCAACGCTTAAACAAACTCTCGATTTACAATACCGAGAGATCGGCTCTCAGTACGACACAATCATCTGTCGTTGAACGAATGATCGTCGTTGTTGCGTCTAATTTTATGCCGTTGAACTGAGAAATCATCGGCGCGATCCTTTTCTGAACGAAACTGAGAAATTATGCCCAGAATCTTTCTGAGGGCATTTCGTATTCCAAGCCTCAAAAATGACTGGTATCGTATGTGCAATTTTTTCCGTCGGAATTCCACGATCCAGACTTCGGAAATGAATTCTAGAATTGCCGGAATTTTTTCAGGCAAGGGAATTATCTCAGAGAAGCTTCTGAAGGAATTCCAACGTCCATAATTCGGAAATTAACAGTAGAAATTCACACTTTCACATTAAACTAGTCCATACATTGCAATGCTTCCATTACATTACGTTTAATATTCGTTTAGCAAATTACTATAGTGATTAAAATTAGTTTGGATTATCGAGAGGCGTGGAGGCTTCTCGAGAACCATGACCCAGAAGAGTATCCCCGAATAATGACCCTGTCCTTCACCATGAGACTTGGTTTCAGACGAGATTATGGACATAAAGTTCCTCTGTCTGAACGGAACCGTCTTCGATCAGGAAACCAGGGTCTGTGAAAGGGTGGACGAGGTTGATTGCAGTAAAAGCGAGCGATTCTACAACCTGAACCTGGAACTCTATGGCAACAACGCGGTCACTCTAAGGTATGTTAATGAACAACTTTATTACACTCACCTGTTTCTCAATAGAGAGCAATTTCTCGTAAATTTCAATTGAAATTCCTCTACTGAAATTTATGTTTTTCTTTAGATTAACCCCTATGTCAATAACCGCAATTGTCGTCTACTTTATCGTCCAATTTTAGTAGTTTTTTGATAACAAAATTCTAAACTCGAGGCAAACACGGATAGGAAATGCGCGAAATAACAACGACCTGGCCGGATATTTCAATCTTTTACCTGGAAGATCAAATATTTTAAGCGAGAATTGTGCAAAAGGGTAGCCGAGTACCCGATTGTTGACATAAGGGTTAAAAAAGATTGGATTATTTTAACTTGATTTTTAGATGAAAAATTTATTTTTATTTATTTATTATTCATTGATAGTAATTGAAGACTGAATATGAAACAGGCTGTGCGTGCCTATAGAGCAGTTTATTTTTCATTGATTAATAGAATTATAAAATATTGCGAGATTATACCTGTATAAAGTAAAAAGTAAGTTTCGATATATTTTGGTAACTGAAAAATTGTTTCCTTGTGATTTTTAGTTTTAGCACGTGCAGCCCTGTTTTAACCCCGTCTACAATTAATTCTGTTCTATGTTTTGCATTTTAAAAGTAAATATTGAATTATTTATTTTATCGGTAAATCACAGTTAATATTGTCACATACACCGTGGTTGGAAAACTGCACGGCGTATTTGTGTCGTTATTAATTATTCTGAATTATTCAACTTTTAAATCGCACACGTGAAATTAATAATTTTACGTTAATTAAGCGAAACATCGATTATTCGAATAAAACAAAAAATACTTGAAAAACACTCCGTGCACAAAGAGTACCAGAAGAAATTTGCTAAGTAATCAACATGTTAATTACACAAATTTCACCAAATTCCTTAATTAAATACTCGGAAAACAGCTGAACTCTTTCCTTGAAAAGAAAATAAATAAATAAATAAACTGGTCTATGTAATCCGATCCATTATTCATTTTTTCCAATCAAATTCAACTTGTGCCCACTTTCTCCACAAATTGCCTACACCCGTTTCCCCTTATAAACGAATATTAAAGCTTCCATGATAAAACCTGCCTGCTATCAGCTGTGCTCCATCGAAACGAGTCCAGCGTGCAACATTTTAGCGACAGGACACCGCTAAACAGGAATTGATCCAGTGAAAATAATTATTGTCACGATTCGGTTCACCTGTCCACGCGTGTGCCTGGACGTTCACCTATTCGCCAGGTTTCGTAAGGACCAAAGGTGCATTAGTCCGCATACCTGCCGGTTTTACTTTCGTGGCTCGCGTGATACAGGATCGAGAGAGGCGTGGTTGATTGCGTGTGTCGCGAATTTTTGACCGATCACCGGGTAACAGAGATCTGTTACCGGTTTTTGCGTCCTGTGTTACATCTCTTCAGATACCATTTTCCGGGGAAATATAGGGAAGAGTGGACAAAATCATACATACCTCCCAATTTGTCGCTGATTTGTTCACAAGCTAATACTGGATATTGTAGCTTGACATTTAAGGGGTTATTTCTATTCGAAAGCTCAAAGAGGTGACAATTTCAAGACTCTTTTTCACGACTTTATTGGTCCATCAATTTTTCTCTATTTTTTAACCACATTTACAAGCTAAAGAAGAAAAGAAATTGTCTCAAAAGTAAAGAATTAATTTTTATCAATTACCTACACAATTTTCCAAATAATATTTAAACT